TGAGATTGTTGAAGTAACCGCCCGTGAATAAACGGAATATAAAGCAAGCAATATAATGAGTACAGTTGAACCAAATGAAATCGGTCGTTCTGTGACAAACATTTCTGATAAATCTAACTATCGTGGTTCTCTAATTGTTTTACCAGATATGCTTTGTCGTAATGACTCATATGTTTTTGACTAAATTTCTTGCAAAAATGAGAAAAATTTATCTGATGCCTCAAATAATAATCAAGAACCTGGTGAAATTTTGACTAATGCTGAATATTCTAGTAATCTATTATCTAATGATGAGATTTTCAGTAAATCTGATGAAAATGTTTCAGCAGAATCAAACTCTTATGATCTCATATCAAGTGTCGTTGATCCCCACCCTGTTGTCAGTTCTTGTGGATTGTCTATTCAATGCGGGGAAATATGTTTTAAATAGAGACACATTAATTGTGACTTGGGGTTATGAGAAGGACAAAGTCTGGACTTAAACTCAGAATCTTCAAAGAAAGGGAGGTGTTATATCGCGGCCAGAATTATGAATGGTAGTTTTCGGGAACTATTTATAGGCTAATACAATGTACATATTTTTACTGCATAAATGTTAAGTAACTAAGCTATACATATTCGTGTTTCCCTTGCAGCGTGGCGTCAAGTTGCAACGGACTATGAGCACTGCTACCAAGAAACGCGTGCCAAATGACTCCATAAAATCCTCCGGAAGCCAAATATCAGAAGGCAGTTAATAGACCAAGTCGAGATATATTTGCTGGCGATCTCGTGGTATCGAAAGGATACCGAGATCGTACCATTATACAAGTTTGGTTACAGAACGTAGCCGAATTCGCGCGAAGTCACAATCAAAGTGTGTGAATAATGGATGTTTTTAGCACAGTTAAACAAAAGCACATTAAAACAGTCACTGGTACAATTGGTTATAATGATAATTGTTTTCAATAAACCAATCGTGTTCTCGTGATAAATGTGAGTCACTACACCCTCATTATAAGCTTTATTTTAACCCATAGACCATCATTATACGATTTACAACTCATGAGTTAGACTCGGTCCATTAATTACAGCCTCCCACATTCACAGCCACTTTCGGGTGAATCTTGCACGAATGTTTGTTTTCTGTTTTATGGTACGATGTGGTCCGTTTGGTTTGTATATAAACCCAGTATGTTTGAAATACATGACTCATATTGCGGAGGCTGAGATTGGTGTTCTGGACATGACAGGCAGAGCTAGGCGGAAGGCAGGACCGATAAAGACTAGACTGCTCGTACGGTTGATACAGCCGATCAATCACTGTTCTCTAACTGCTACTAAATATGTTAAAAAGGCACTAAGCCAGAGGCTACAACACTCGCTCGATGTCATTTATCTCTTAGTGGTAATAAATTTCATGTGGGTTCCTGTGATACTGCATTTTTACGCTCGATTCTGTTAGAATTTATATACTCCCAAGGAGACTGACCAGAGCTGTTCTACCTTCTTGTTGTAGGTCTTCTTTATGTCTGGTTCTTGTGACATGTCCATCCCACACCATCTATCGCCCCTTCAAAAATGAATTTTTATTTCTCCATTTCCCAAGTTTCTTTTCTAGGTCTCTGATCACGGACATAAACTAGTGTTTCGGCCTCGTGTAAAGTGTCTTCCTGCTGTCGTTCCGTCTTGGTTGGTTTGATTGCACCACTTGCTGTGTGCAGTTCCCGTCACGTCAGTTTTTCCATAGGAGACTTTCTCTGTATCGTCCTACTGTTGAGTGTACTCATGTTGACGAATAGAAATCTCTGGACGAGAGCTTTCACAGATTCTTCTGCTTTCGCTTTTAATACAGCTCTTTTAAATTTGTTCATAAACGTTTGGTTTGTCTGCTAGATTGTGGATGATATGTTGAAGAGAGGATGTGGAGGATGGCATTTCGATAGGAAAATCAGTGAATGTGAGGGATGTGAATTGATATCCGTTAACAGTTACCACAGTCTCTGGTAGAACGTGTCATGCAAATATATTCGTTAATTCTTCTGATGTTTTGTGCATCGTCCGACGTAATAATGGAAAGATTTCAGACCACTTTCGATCTGTGTCTACTCACATGGATTAGTACACTTCCATCATTGGACCTGCAAAATCTGGATATAGCCTGAACCATGGATGCTCTCGATCTGGTCAATTTACGCCCTCGAATTCTGCTGGAAACGTCAATGCATATTGACACTGTTCACACATGTTTACTGTCTTCTTTTGGGTTTACTTTTGTGCCAATACATGTAACATGCAGTCGATTTCATTCGAGCTAGTTAGTTATGGGTGGCATGAACTGAACACTTCTGTACTATATTGCTCACATGACCGTTTCACTCACTATTCTCACTATTCTCGGTATTCTAACTGAAGAAGTTCAACTGAGTATCCATTCCAGACGGGAAATAATAGCAACAGCATTATTGCCGTGCATTTGGTCCCATCGATCACTTCCTAGTCTCAATTTCGATTACTCATTGTTATAACACATGAATAAACATAAATTGGAACTATAATCTTCAACATTACATAGTGTGCCTTCTTCATAAGTTGGTGTGAAAATAAGAAAGTCAGACCATCCAGTTCAGAATATACAAATATGTTCTCTCCAGAATGATATATCCGTGCAATATCATTTAGTGTTTATGATGAAATCCAACCCGCAACATTGTTCATTGAGGCTTTGCTAGGTTAACAGCGGTTACCAGTTCACTTAGTATGCGAACGGAACAAAGGTTTGTGACCGAAGACCAATATGTTAGCTATCTTGATGCGTCCCAGACCCACTAACTAGAGTGAGATGTCGGAGCTTGGAACACGAATGTATATCCCGTAAGCCAGAAGCACGATTGAATAATAACAGACACAAATCAAGTGTATATATACAGCATAAAACTGTCCTTGGGAGGTGTTGCAAAAATAGCCTACTTAAATACACAACGGACCAATAGCGTTAAAGATTCTGCCAAGTAGGAAATACGGCATGAAGGTGAAAAGAACGCTTTTGGTGCGAAAACAAGTAAATTCAAGTTTCCAAAATCAAATTACAAAATTAATGCATTTACCAAGTGAGTTCTAGGGACCTAACATCCCCAACATAAAATAGAGAAGAAATTGATCACACTAAATTATATGTATGAAAAATGCATCATATGTGACAGATACCTTATCATCTCATAGAAGTAGTTAAAGCCGCATGACAACATAAAATCACATGGTGTTAATATAGTGTTTCTCAGGATAGGCGACCAGAGACGTAGATAGAAAATTTGAGATGTGTTTGGTAGGAAGACAGAACTCTGACATTCGTATTTCCACAGAAGACAAGGACAACGAGGTTGCACCGAATAAGCTGTGTGACATCGTACAGTAAGTCGGAACATTCCTCCACTTCTAATTCATGGAAACTCAAGGTTACCTACTGATAAATACAGCGCACTCCACAGTGAATAGAAGTCACGCATCCATGTAAAACCAATTATTATGCACTCATTAGACAAATGAATATACTGTTTAAAAGTAATTTGCCGCCTTGAGATAATTCGGAGCTGGATATTGTTTCGCAACGAAATGTCAATGGTGAATCTAAATACATTGCTAATTATCACGGAATACAATGGTTTCCACCAGATTCACATGATTAATTGACTGGTTGTTATTCATTTTCTGTCACATGAAACACTCAATCACTAATGTCATTTGACAATTTCAAGTATTTATTGGTCCATCACTGATGTCACGACCCGACCTATTCTAGTCGAGATTACTAAAGGTCATTCTTGTTGAATGATTTTCAGCTTGAGTGGACTATGGTGTCAGTTTGATTCCACGGATCACTTTACTTCACTTGTGTTGACACTGGAAATAAACATTTGACACAACTACAACCAACGTTAAAACAAATCAGTGGAGAGCAACATCAAAGCTACTGAAGTTGAGGAATACAAAATTACAATGTCTTCGATTATATGCTGGATCAAATCGACGTGGTTATTGTAATCGTTTTGTATATTATGAATTTTGATTTCTTCTCTTTATACACACTCGACTTCGATTCAACTTTACTCAGTGTGAAGCATACGGTCACATTAGCGGTTCACTTATGAATAATCGCACCTTCTGATCATATTCGAGAACTTTGTTGCTACTGAACATCATTTAGAACTGTGATGAGCACACCTGTATTGAGCGTGGTGCAGTCGCGTGTATGCTTTACATGTGTATGTCTCAAGAATAAGCTAGTGTGTGAATGAATACGACTTGATTTTTCATTACTAATCATAGTGCTTCATACTTTCACGACGAATCAAAAAATCACGTCGTAAACTTTTGTAATATATATATGGTGATACACCACAAGAGCTACTATACAACATTAATATTCTAATACTTCTTCTTAGTGAATGTTTGTTATCTGACTGTTAGCACATGAAATCCTAAAACAAAACTTTACCATAATGTCATATTCAATGAATAATAACGTAATTTTTAATGTCAAGTTATCGATTGATTCGTTTGCTTATGGTATTACTGGATATACAACCTCACTTTGTAAACAGAATTAAAGCCTACTATTTCTACTTTGCAATTATCATAGGGAATATTATTTTGTCGACTACATGGGATGGGTTTGTCAGATTAGTTTGGATTTTCTATTACTTATGTTGTGATCTCAAGTTTGATGATTGGACGAAATGTGTATTTCAGTGGTCGACGAAATGTTTGTATAATTAGTCTAGATGGCAATACGTATGTTGTAACGTCATGGATAAGAAAACTCTCAGTAAAAATCCACGGAATGAAGATAAGGTTTTTATAATTAAACGACATTGAAGTTCGAATTAACGGGACAACAATTTCACCTATACCTCACTTTAGAATCTCATTTCGATGAACCTAATCATTCGTGATTATCATCTTAAATTCATATTTTTATTATGCAGGGTTGGATGAAAGCCTATTGATACGGTGAAAATCAGTTATTAAGCCAACTACATTTATTGAGATGTCCAAAATAAATGAGTCTGATCAGGTTGTTATATTATTACAGTATGAATGATATTCCTTCGGTAATGCACAGAGCACTCACCATGAATAAAGTCTTTTGATGTAATGGTTATCAAAGTCTAATGAGTAGGAAACATTTTGTGTGAGTTGTTTAAATAAAATTGGACCAGGTAAGTATCACCATCTAAGTACATTTGCAAAATATATTTTGATTATTTCATATTGTAGTGTTTGTTAGAAAAATTGAATAACGGTGAAAGGTTTTTATAATATAGATTTTAAGCTAAAGGCACTTCAGTTGTCGTATTATTATTTGGTTGATCACGATAATTATTCGGCTGGAGACCTTCAAATGGATTGGGAAACGGTGGTGGTACGAATGGAGATTGATTGATCGGCAACCATGTTATTCGCGGATTGTGACAGTAAAAATGATGATTGACCTGGTTTAGTCTCACGCATTTGAGTGCAGAGCCCACTGACCAAAATCCCCTTTCCCTTAAATCACTAACACATACACCAGGTGGAATAATAATATATTGACCGTGTAATTCGTGTTGCCTATGTATTAAAATAAAGTTTTGAAAATTTCGGCTGGACAAAATATCAATTCTAATAATGGTTGAATGTTTTGAAAATGAATTAACTGTAACTATTTCATTTGTATCGAGTCACTGAATGTTTCTATCAAATAATAGCAAACTCAAACCAATCAGTCTAAATGACTTTTCCAAAGACCCCGTATGCACACTGATGATACTGATAATTTAGAATCGGCAACTCACCTAATCACAACTAGATATACGATTGTTTTTGGTGGAGAAATTCCTATGAAGACATATAGACTCTTGTAAATCTTTATCATATCAATCTATTCAATACATCACGTCTTGTAGTATAATCCACTCAAGATTGTGGCGCGAAATTATTCTGTCAAGTTATGTTGATGGAAGTCTGTAATTTATTTATTTCCTCTAACTAATTAAAAGTTTGCTGTGTATCATGACTCAGCCAGCAGACATTCAAAGATATTTTTTGACTACGAACACATACTCAGCATTATGAACGAATTCCAAATGGGGTTGTTTTCACAATTTTTTCCTTCTATAATTTGTATAAATGTTTCATTATCCTGAGAGCAAACATCTTCAAAACTAGATGTAATAGGTACTCTATGAAAGTGAAGTTTTCATAGTTCGGATATGAATGAAATGTCTCAGGATTTTAGCCCGCTTAATGCTTGTATAGATGTAAGCGGATCTATTATGTACATACAACTTCATGACGCTGACAGATTGTGACTAGAATACAATGCTTCACTGATTGCAGTTAACTGTTGATTCGATTTCAGTTTTCAAAATAACTATCTTACCAATAACAGTCACTATCACTCAGAACGTATGACATGATTAGTACAGTGTTTCATCTTATTTCAAACTCGTCAGCTGGATGTTTATGCATCCGACAGTTGATGTTCACCGATCGATTGCAATCCTAAACAGCAAGCGAACAATATCAAGTGAACTGGTATATTTCAATTGTGATAAAATCCTCTTTGAATTGTTCCATATTGATTGTATTTCGTACAAATTACTACAAGGTATCCAGTTTAACTTCATGAATACACTATTTAATATGTGAAAAGGTATCAGCTTAGTTTTGTTGTTCTTGTCAATGAAATACATCTAGAGCTCATTGTGATAATCTTATGTAGTAAATCTAAATATAATTAATAATGCTAGATACTTGAATATTAGGAAAGACATTTCAGTAGAGTAAACTTTTGCGAAAATCATAAATAAGGATGGGAATTAATTTCGCTCATCGTTGTATCACACAGGAAGTGACCGAATAATCTATCATTTCAAAATGTGTAACATTCATTCCACATGAAACATATAAGTGAGTAATATTTTAGGAACTTACGAATACACGATCCAGTATCTCGTTGTCAAATAACTTCGATGTGAACAAATCATATTTGTATAATACATAAAATATGGGTCAGTATAACTATTACTGTCGCAAAAATCAACCCAATAATATCGTCCAAAAAGTGAAGCAAACAACCGTAAACAGTCTGATGATTGCAGGGTTGCCTGCAACAGAGTGGATTGTGATTCAGTCGAATTGATGTGAGACTCAGTAGTATTTACCACTGTCTCAAGTGACCATTCTGTGAAGCATGTAAGTACACCAAACAGGATGATAAAACTAGCTGACATTATACTCCGTGAACCAGTAGAATAAACTTGTGTAGTTCCATTTATACTCTTTTCAAGCATATGACTTGGATCACGTTTAGCAATATTGACCTCGTGATTATTCTGAATGTCATATTGTATGAGTCATTTATAAATTCTTCAACACGTATTTGTATTAGGTTATTCTAATGATTTCTTATCATTGACAATATCTACTAGTTGTAACTAGATCACACATAGTAGTTTATTTAATTGAAGAAAATGGAAGTGCTATTAGTTTAAGAAAGATTGATTCAGCAGATTCACTTTTAAATATGTATACAATCGCAAATTTGTGGTTGTTCTACGAAGTGATAATAAATATAAAAATGGTGACAATAAATATATTACCTTCTAGCAACTGATCAACACTGAAGTTTAGCGAAAACAAACCTGTTCTCTGTATGTTCAAATGTCTGTACAATATTACTCAGTGTTATTATAAGATTCATCCTACAACATTCGTTAATAACGATAGGAAAAGAGAGACGAACTTTATCAAACAGAGTGTAAATTATTCTAACCTCTATAGTTTGATGCCATCAACTCCGGTTTGCTGAAGACCCAGTTGACCATTTTGTAGGTAATGATTCACCTGTTGTAACTTCAAATCTTTTTATATGACCGTAATGTGAAGGGCTTTCACTACATTCATAAAACTCACTTTTGCGTGTTTTGTAGAGAAAATCACAGCAACTTCAGAATGTTTGTTATTATCAGTGTAATTACTTATTAAACAAGATAAGTTGCCTTTCCGACAAAACTCTTCTGTTCATCTGTACTGAACTCCAAAGCAATAATTTTCACACTTAAACTTGGAAACAAACAAATTATTCACATTCTATATGTTTAAATGACAAGAAAACGCAACGGAATTTCAAGAAGATCCATTTACAAGAAACCTTTGTAGAATGGCTAACTTATCAAGTTTTCACAGTTGGGTCCATATTAGCCAGAAGCGAAACGTAATCATACCTTTCGTTTAATGGATGCATAGAATTTGTATTCCTTAAGTCATAGGTATCTGGCTGAACTTTCTTAAGAAAATACTTGTCGGAAGCGGGTATCCTTCATTATTCATTGACAAAATTATAAAATCAAACCAAATGAACCACAAATAACTTTTATAGAAAAGAAAACATTATATAAACATCCATTTCAAAGACGAAGTACTTACATACGTTATGAGGTGAAAGATTATCGACTGTCTAAATATCAGCAACTTTGATAATCATGTTTTCCAAATGATCGATAATCATCAATCATCTTTGGGAGATTTTACCGCAATTAAGCAACTCTACGTTATTGATCAACTTAATTGTTCATGTGAGTTCAGGTATAAAATTAGTTCAACGCTTATTTTATCCAAAAAAATCCGAGGGAATTATCCGTCTTGACTGCAAAGAGGTTAAAATTGCTCATTAGAAACCTTAATATCCGAACATCTTATGAACAAAGATCAATCAGTCAAAGTGAACTCTACAGGTTAAGTAGAAGGCTGCCAAAGACAGTTATACTGCATCTTCTTAACATTGCCGAAGCAATAGCCATACGTCTTTAAAAAAATCAAGAAATTGTGATTTCAAAAACACTGATATAACTTCATTTACAATAGTTCTGATCTCTTATAGTTTTCTTTCTTGTTCGTACTTTTCTTTATTCACAGATATCTGCTTCCTTTCTATCTTCTTCATTGATCTTTTATCCCCCCCTCTACAAGTGAATTTTGTGTTCCGATGATCCTCCATATTACAGTTCATTTCAGTTTTAACACTGTATTTTATCATGCTAAGCTTTTCCTTCTCAATTATAATATCCCTATCTATATTCCTTATGAGAACGATTTAATGGCTTTTATAAAATCCTACCTCAGTGTTACCATGTTTAACAAGATTCTATTGTCACTGTTGTTGTAATTATTATCACTTCATAAAATATGTATACGTTTGCCATGTAGAGGACCCTTCTATGAACAAATTTTCTTTATTTTATATTTAAGTGTATGATGACAATAGATTCCTACATTTGTTTATACCGTTCCAACTGCTCCTCCGGTGCTAGTTATATTGGCCGTACTTAAAGATTGTTGTCCCAGAATACATATGGAATCTTTCACGTTTCTGGGAAAGGTCATCGATGAACAAGGAGGATCAAGTGCAGATGTGAAGGTGAGGATTGGCAAAGCAAGGACCGCATTCCTACAATTGAAGAACATAGAACTCAAAACAACTGTCAACCAACGTCAAAGTCAGAGTTTTCAATACGAACGTCAACATAGTTCTACTGTATGGGGCTGAAACGTGAAGAACTACCAGAACCATGAAAAAAAGTACTTGTATTTATAAACAATTGTTTACGTAAGATATTGAATGATTGTTTGCCGGGTACCATCAGCAACAACTTACTATGGGAGAGAATAAACCAGCTTCCAGATGAGGAAGTGGATAGAAGATACATTACGGAAATCACCAAACTGCGTCATGAGGAAGGCCACGATCCGGAATCCTGAAGGGAAGCGGAAAAGTGGAAGGCCGAAGAACACATGACGTTAGCACTTGAAGGCAGATATCGAAGGGTTAATAGCAACTGGAAACAACTGGAAAGGATTGCCGCCCATGCTCCTCCACCAGGGCTAACAGGCGTATATTATTAGACATATGAATAAATCTTTGTAATAAGATAACGTAAGAGATACATTGAATTCACGTTAATCATTATGAATCAATCATCAGTGAATAAATTACAATTTACAACTTCGTAAATGAATAATAACTTAAGAGAAATAAATCCGGAAGATTTATATTTGAGTGATATTTGCAAACGGTAGTTCTTAAGATATTAGAAGTGTTTCGTTTCACTTTGAAAATGTGTCGACAATAAACGAAACATTGTTACCTCAAGTATCAGTTGTTGTTGCATAATTTCGCCAATTCTATACCTCTAACTTGTATGTAATTATAATTATAAAAGTTATCTGTGTATCTGATTGTATGCACCAGTTAACGTGTGAGTGGAAACAGTATAGCGCAAGTTGTGAAGTAGTTGGTGAAATGTTCCCTTAAACGTACACATGTATTTTACTCAACATAATCATAATAAGTGCAGATATACTTGATGTAAAAATTATTTGAAATGATAGAATGTTATATTTTCATTAACTCTCATTTATTTCAAAAGTTCCGATTTCGTTGAAAACTCTACACCAACAAAAACGCCTGACAACTACTCTAACTAATACTGATATTGACGAACCGAATTCACTATTTATATATGTCCTATAATAGTCATTTCATTGACCAGCTAAAATGACACTTTTGATATTACTCGAAAAGACCAAAGTAATAAGCTTATCACACAACATAATAATACAACATTAATTTCAACAGTTGAGATCATGAGTCAATTGAAGCTAGACCACCATGGAAAACCTGGAAGCACTGGACGACTGTCTCGTCCCATTATGGGACTCAGCAGTGCGTATCCACGATCCTGCACACAGGACTCGAACTCAGGACTTCCGGTCTGTCGCACGACCGCTTAACGTAGTGGACAACTGAGTTGGCGCCCAATGGTGTTAATGTCTAATCTCAACCAGTCCATGAAATTGAGCGACCATCTTCCAATGTACTGTCTTTATCCAACGCGGATTAGTTCCACTGGTCACGACTTCTAACTAGAACCCCAAGAATTCCCTCACGAAGCTTGTCACTAGTGAGCACATGGTAATAATTATCAGTATAGGGTTGTGGAGATTATTAAGTTTTTTTGATTGGATGCGCACTGTCAAGGAGGAGTCCCACAATAGGACGAAACGGTCGTCTAATGCTTCCAGTTTTTCAATGGTGGTATAACATCAATCAGTTCATAATCTTAATCGGAAATAATAAAATTAATTTAATTGATTCTGTAGTACTGAAACTGTAAATTACGTCAAGTAATGTACATAAGACAGATTTTTTGATATGAAATTCGAGTATAAACACGTGACTGAGATAACCGGGAAGGATTTGAAGCCAGTTCTTAGTTAATACTTTATGTTGAAGATAGATTTCAAATCTTTTTAAAGTTAGACTGGCAGTTTGTTAAAAAAAAATCAACGAAATAGAAAACTCAACACTGAGGATATAGATCATTTAACTTTCATAATTCTTAAAAGGAACCTAAAGAAGATTTTACAGAATAAGAAGTTTATGGTTAGGATTCCCCCGATAATCTGACATCAGCTATTATGTGAAAATATTGTTTAGCCAAATGAATGAATGAATTTGACTCAGAAATGAAAGAGGTTCTATTTGATTAGTTAATCTATAAAATATGGTACAATCAGGTCAATGTTTGTTTTGCGATTATGTGTTTGAGTTTAGGATTTAGGTATAAGGTTGATATACTTGTTATAGATAACGCAGATAATGAGAGAATCAAATACATAATTATTTCAACACCATTTTTTACTTTATAGAAGATAATATATAAGCGTCAATTACTCTTTATACTTGAAACAAGGGATCATTACTACGTGTCATGGAACACCAGTTCCCTCGAGATTACAGGTACACCTTGCTGACGGATGTGAAATCGCACGAAACCCGGGTAAAGGGTTTCCTGATGACTACCTCTAATCACCATCTTATCTCAACATAATACACACAACGTTGAGTCACATACACTAGTGGCCTCATTGTTACTTGATCGATAGCATTCGATCTGCACTAAGAACGACCTGACACATATGACTTTTCTCAACCACCACCCAGTGATCAATCAAGTGAAATTTTATTCACCTTCAAAACACAATGATAACTCTAACCAAGAATACACTCATTCTATATTGATTTGTACATACATTTGACCGTAAATTTAAAAAAAGTATGTCATGTATATTGAAAATGCTCAGAATCATAAACACTTCACATACTACATGTCTCATGAATTTAATACAATGAATATTATGTCTTTAATAACCATCATAAATGGAATAAATCAATATTATATAATAAATAAAGCATCATATTGAATTAGAAACGGGTGGTAATGTTGAACAA